GGGAGCCATTTCTGGGTCTGCCCACGCTGGAACCCACTCAGGAGGAGGATGGGGCTGGATGGGCAGGGAGCAGCCAGGGCAAGCGTGGGCTAGGGGTGTCCAGGGACACACCTTGGGGACATAAAGGGACATGCCAGGACAGAGGTGCCTGGGGTATCCCAGGGCTGAAGCCTGCTCAGAGCATCCCGGGGCACCCTGGGGCATCCCGGGGGCACGGGGATATCCCGGGGCAGAGGTGCCTGCGGACACGCTGGGAACACACGGGCATCCCGGGTCAGCGGGGCATCCCGGGAGCACTGAGGCCATCGCGGGTCGCGTCCCTGGGGACATCCCGGGGCACCCCGAGGGCACGTGGACATGCCGGGTCAGCGGTGCCCGGCGCATCCCGGGGACGGGCGGACACCCCGGGGCAGGGGTGCTCAGCCCCATCCCGGGGCACCGGAGCCACGGCGGCTCTGGCCCCCGGTGCTGGCGGAGGCCCCGCGGGCTGGGGGTGCCGGGGGGTCCCGGCCGGGGCGCGCGGGCCGGGCCGGGCGGCGGCGGGAGCCGGGGCGGGCGGGGCGGCTCCGCCTGCGGCCGTGCCCGGTGCCGGTACCGGTGCTCCGGGCCGCGCTTACCTGGGCGGGCGCCCACTCGGCCATGGCCCCGCGGAGCTGGGCCGGGCCCCGGCGGCCGCGGCCGGGGCTGGGGCTGGGGTTGGGGCCGGGCGGCGGCGGCGGCGAGCGCGGAGCGGGGCCGGGCCGGGGCCGGGGCCGGGAGCGGGGCCGGGGCCGCTGTCGGTGCCTGCGCACGGGCCGGGCCCCGCCGCCCCGCCGAGCAGCCACGGGCAGCCGGGGAATCGCATCCGCCTCCTCCGGGCTGGGCGGCAGCGGGCGGGGAGCGGCGGCAGCGCGGAGCGCCGAGCACTGCCGCCTACCGGCACCGGGAGCGGCTCCGCCACCGGCACGGCCCCGGTACCGCCACCGGCACCGCCGCCAGCACACACACCGGCGACGGCAGCGGCTCTGCCACTGGCACTGCCACTGGCACAGTCCGCTGGCACCGGCAGTGGCTCCGCCACGGCCGCGGGTACTGGCACTGGCACTCTCAGTGGCACCGGTGCACCGGCACCTCCAGCACTGCCACCGACACCGGCGGCAGCTGCGGCATTGGCACCGCCGTGGGAGTTGGTGTGGGCTGTGCCAGCAGCACCGATGCTGACACGAGTGCAGGTGGCATTGTACTGGATTTGGGAACAGGGAACACCGATTTGGGTGGCACCGAGGGCCAGGCGCCGTGGGCGGAGAGGACATGACCACCCACACCAGGATCCCCGTCCTGGCCAGAAGACCCTCGTGGCGGGACATTCCGGGTTTGGGAACCACCCTGAGTGCCTATCCTGACCCTGGGACCTTTCGTTTGAACCGTGCCAGGGCTGGTGCCAGGCCAGGGAAAAGCGTGACGGTCACACCTTCCTGGGATTATCCCGGGAAAAGCTCCTTCAGTGCTCGGTGTTCCAGGATCCGTACGGATGGGCCATCTCTCCTGGGCTGGACAGGGAGCGGGATGACCCCGGCACCGGGGGAAGGGAAGGCAGTGGCATAAGAAGGGTTAACGGGTTGAGCAGTGTCACGGGAACCTGAGCAGCCATTTCCCTCCAGGATGTCATCGCTCCCCGTCCCCTCCAGCACTCAGTCCCCCAGCTGGGACACCCCAATCCCCCCAGGCCCTGCCCCATGGCTCCAGGGCTGAGCCTTTTAAATGAAGACATTTTCTCCAATATCCAATCCAAATATCATTTCCATTTCCAGTTCTCCTGTCCATGTTCCCTGTGAGTGGAGCCCAACTCCCCTGGCTGTCCCCTCCTGTCAGGGAGTTGTGCAGATCCAGAAGTTCCCCCTGAGCCTCCTTTTCTCCAGGCTGAGCCCCTTTCCAGCTCCCTCAGCCACTGAGGTTTCTTCATCTCAGCTATGGATTCACCTGCTGCTAGCACAGACAGGGTTTGCTTGGTTTATTCCCAAATTTTCCAAGCATCTCTTACCACACAGGTGATATTTCCCTGGGAATGTCAGTTCCTCCTGGGAGAAGCTTTGATCCCCAGGACAGCACCTGATGAAAATCCCTCTGTGGCTGTGGGGAGTTAAAGCTGGGTCTGCCACAGCAGCTCTGCCCCCTCAGGAGTAAGGAGTGCTGGGGCCTGGAGCATCCCATGGGATCCAGTGGTCAGGAGACAGAGGAACCAACCCCTCAGTGGGAATGGAGCATCCCAGCCTGTGGACAAGGGATGGAGGGACAGGACACAGGGAATGGCTTCCCACTGCCAGAGGGCAGGGATGGATGGGATACTGGGAAGGAATTGTTCCCTGGGAGGGAGGTGAGGCCCTGGCACAGGGTGCCCAGAGCAGCTGTCCTGGATCCCTGGAAGTGCCCAAGGCCAGGCTGGACGGGGCTTGGAGCAGTCTGGGACACTGGAAGGTGTCCCTGCCATGGAATGAGGTGGGAATGGGATGATCTTTAAAATCCCTTCCAAACCAAACCACTCTGGGATTCTGTGAGGAATAAAAATCAAAGCCAACCCCCAGGACTTCATTTATGAGAAGCCAGTGCCAAAAGGTTTTTGGGACGTTATTCTTGTACCTGGGATGGTACAGGATGCTTTGGGGCCAAGTGTATTTTCCCAATCCTGCTCAGAACTCCTGGAACTCCAGCACAGCACCAGCTGGGTGTTCTCTGCTGCTCCTCAGGGGCTGCTGAGCCCAGAGACTTCATTCCAGCTGGAGTCTGTGACTGAGGACACCCCTCCAACTGGAGGCAACACATTTTCCTTCTTGGCACTCAACTGGAATATTCAAAAATGCTGAAAACCACCAGCACATGGGGAGAAAACACAAAATCTGCATGTGTTGCCTCCACAGGCCCTCCCCTCCTCTCACCTTCTCCCTGCTGCATTTCCACTTCCCAGAGGAACATCACTGACACACTGTACACACATTTAGAATATATCCATGGGGTTTTTTCCCCAAAATTTCAGAAACCAAAGCAGCATCTCACCCCACAGGAAAACATGAGGTCAATATAAAAATAGAACACAAAAATAGTTAGTTCTGCAGGTACAGTAATGGGAGAACAGCTAAAGTAGGGAAATAATGCCCAGAATTGGTAGCTTCAAACATCAGTTTACAAACCCATTTCCAATTCTTCGTTTTTCATCCCTGAAAACTTCCAGTGTTTCTCTGTGCTACTCTGGATGCTCTCCAGCACGTGTTGTTTGGTGCACCAGGTTTGTTTTTGTCATGTCTCTTTTGGTACAGCCAATGCTGCTCTATCCAACTCCTGCTCCAAGGAGGAGCTGGATGGAGCATGGTAAGAATGACAGGAATGATCCAGGTCCTAATCAATGACCTGGCCAGCAACAAACCGAACCAGAACTCGATTCAACTTGGGAAAACTTCCTTATCTCCCAACTCCACTCTAATCCAAACCCCAACTGTGGGCAGAGCAGGATTTTCGACAGCTGACTGCACAACTCTATCCCAGGCAGGCTGGGAATGTGGGACCGTGTTGAGGGGTGGCTGTGGAGGGTGGGTGTCCCCTCGGCAGTGGCTGCTGCCTGCTGTGGGAGCGCTGGTGCCGCAGCAGGTGCGCGAGGCGGGCAAAGCTCTCCCCGCACTCCGTGCAGATGAACCACGGCACGGCTGCCTCCTCGGGCTGGCCCTGGTGGTACAACAGGAACTGCCTGAACTCATCCACCTCCTGCCCTGCCAGCACACTGCTGCTGCTCCTGATTGCCACAGGATTGCCCGGATTCGTTGCCGGATTCGTTGCCGGATTTTGGTGGCTCCCCGATGTTTCCCCCTGGTCTGAGAAGTGGCAGTGCAGGGTTTGGGATGCTCCCAAGGATGATCCATGCACTTGTGTGCCTCCTGCAGCCTGGATCATGGCACCATCATGGCCTGGAACGAGGAGATTGCAAACATTCCCTGTATGTGACGTGACACAATACAAATCTCCAAAAGACAACAATTCCCCATTCACTGCTTCTGGACAAAACCTATGAGTTTTGGGTTTAAAAAAAAAAAAAACCAAAAAAAAAAACAGGGATGAGCTGGAAAATCTCATCCCTCCAATCCTACCAATTTCAAGGTGCTGCCAGTGAATTCCCACACCACCACACACCTGTGCTGAGGCTGGCAGGAATTTTCTTTTCCTCCAAATCCTGCAGATCATCTTTGACCTGTGTTGGTTGTCCTGCTGGGATATGGGTTTTGGGAACAAGGAAGAAACCTGAACAAAGAATAGAAAGAATATGGGAATGATGGTTATTAATATTTTCCCCTGATGGTTTTCCAGCAAATCCCTGCATCACCCACTCTCTAAACAGCATCTCTGTTATGCCAGGAAAAGACCCGATGAAGAGGGAGCAGCAGCAGCTGCCCTGCTGGCTAAAAGGGTTACAAAAGGGATGCAGGTGAACAGGACTTGTGCTCCAACTTTTATAAAATATTCCAGAAATTACACCCAGAAGTTTGAAGATTAAATGTTGAAAAGTGGAAGGTCTCGGATTTGAGCCTTAACCCCAAATTCAGCTGCCTGGTCCTGGATTTTATGGTTCAGTCCTGTCTTTTTCCCAGCTAATTCCTCCTTGTGCAATGCCCCAGATTTCAGCAGATTCTTCTAGGAATCAATCCAAGGAATTACCTGAATGCTGAGGAGCCAGTGAGGGCTCACAGCTATAGATTTAAAATATCAGTGACTTCAAGCAAACATATAGCTGAACGTTTACAGCTAATTAATGAGATGTCTTCATTTTCTGGGCATCATTCAAGTTATTTCACTATTTCTGCATCAAAATAGTTCAATTCTCTTCAGTCAATCTCAAACTCAGACATATATCAGGGTGTGGGGATGAGGGAAACACAGCTTCACTGTAATTAATGAGGGTACAGGATTAATGATCCTGTGTGTCACTGCAGCTCTGGTATCCAAATCTTTTCCACCTCTTGCTCCTTTTTGCTTTGTTGGCAGCTGCATTCCCTGGGATCCTAAACTGTCCTTCAGCCTTTTAAAGCAAAATTGTGGAGCTTCTTATCTATCACAAAGATTCACAAGCACTTAAAAGATGATTTCTCTAAAAATCCAGGGATTTGAGGAGCAACAAGAGCCAGGCCAGACCCAGACTCTGTCCCTTTGGAGAGGGAAAACTGACCTTTTCCCATTGTGATGAAAGATCCATATTTCTCCTTCAGCAATTGCTTATAAAATTCATTCTGCCAATCCTCCAGACGTGGCCACTGAGGAAGCATCTCAGGGACCTAAAAAGCAAAATGTTCAACAGTCAGAGGGGCTGTGAATCCCTGAAAACCCTCTTATCCCAACAGTTTAAACCCGTGGGCACCTCCCAGCTGCTCCCAGCAGTGTCTGTGCTATGTGTAAGCAGCATATTAATGAAGGATTTTACATAAGAACCCTCTACTGTTAATCCAGAGTGAGAGAAAAGGCTTTAAAGTGATGTGACTCAGCCAGAACAATGATTTGCTCCAACAACTGGGTCAGAAATTAGTCACAAAAACAGATATCCGTGGTCAGCATCCGTGCCCAGCCCCCTCAGGGAATGTCGTTCTTCCTTCAGTGAAAAATAAAATAATTCAGTGTTTTAAATAAACCCTGAGGCAGTGCCATGATCTGTCAGACTGGCTGGAAAAGCTCCTCCCTGGTAATGAAAGCTTACTATTAGGGAATAACAATATTATTATTATTGCTATTAATTAAACCCTTTAAGGGATCTTTTTTCAATCTGCTTTCAAGGCTTTACATGCAAATCTCCCCTTTAATTTAATTTATTCCCGCTCTCCAGCCCCTCAATTACCCTAAAGGGCTCGGAATTCCGGATCCTTTTTCGGGTTTTGCTGCCTGGCACGCAGCTGAAACTTTGGGGGGTCCCCACGTGCCAGGTCCCATCCATCCCCAGGATGAATTTGTTGGGAACAGCTTCCTTCAGCAGGCGCCGTCTCTTGCCGATTTTCAGAGGATTCGTCTTGAAGGAGCTCTCCTCGAAATGCTCCGAGCACAGGCACTGGTACCTGGAGGGATTCTCCATGTCCCGGCCCATGTTTTGGATCCACTGCCTCAGGAGGGCTTTGTTGTGTAGGGGGAATCCATAGAAACTGACCGAGCTGTTCTTGTAGACCCCGCTCGAGGCGTTGTGGCAGTTCAGGGCCGCGCAGTAACCCATCGTCACACACCAGCAACGGGGGGAAAACCCAAAAAAAACACACCAGGGAGGAGGTTTAGGGAGCTCCTAATCAACCTCAGTCCCAAACAGGTCTAAATTTCTCCCCAAACCCCGCGGTTTTGGCAAAGAGGAGGAGCTGAGGTGGCTGAGTGAAGCACGGGACTGAACTTCCAACAGGAGCTCCCCACGGAGAGGAGCCAGGTCTGTCCCAGCTGCTTTAAATCATCGATCTGAAAAGGGAAAAAAGCTTTAAAATCAGCCTAATGACCCTGAATATGCAGATTTACGTTTAATGAACCCCTGTGGTGAGCTTCATTCATTTGTGTATCCACAAGGAATCCTGAGCTCCAAAGGTTATCCAGCACACAGCACAGCGCTGAGAGACATAATTCCCAAAAATGAAACTTTGGGGTCTGATGTCCCCCATCATATCAGAGGAGAGTCTCAGGGGTGTCAAGCAGTGAGGAGATTTTTGGACAGGAACACTGGAAAAGGGAATAAACCATCCAGGGATCCTGCTGCATCCTGCTCTGAAGAAGAGGAGATCTCAAGGTTTGAGGATGCCCGTGGTTAAAAAGGAACAAGGATCAGGAGGTTCAAAAAAAGCTCACAAAGTTTGATTATTAAATTAAGCACTTAGCATGGAAATTAGTATTTTTGCCCTTATCTTCTGGTAATAAGAGAAATAAAAGAATAAAAGAAAAGAAGAAAGAGAGAGAGATCAGATGGGAGCGGGAAGATCACTGATCCTGTCCTGAGGGCACATTTTCACACCCTGAAGTTTTCCTTGCCCTGGAATTAGGTTTCTCCTTTTTCATGTAAATGAGTGAGGATGAACAGTCCCTTCTCCCAGACCTTTCTGGAAAGCTTTGGGGCTCTTGAGCCACCTTTCCTGGACCAATCTTTGGCTGACACTCTGTGCCTTTTCCCCCACTCCATTCCTGCACTGCCTTTTCCCACTGCCCTTATCTCCAGGGAGCAGAAGGGAAGCGGCCCCAGGACGTGCTGCCCCACCTGCATTTCTCCTTTCTCCAACCACATCCTGTTCTAAGGGGCTTGTTCTGGGATTTTGGGACACGTCTCCAGCACAGGGAGGGCAGGCACACGTTGGAATGAGCCCAGAGAAGGCCCCAAGGCTGCTCCAGGGCTGGGGCCCCTCTGCTCTGGAGCCAGGCTGGGAGAGCTGGGAATGTTCACCTGGAGAGGAGAGGGATCCAGGGAGAGCTCAGAGCCCCTGGCAGGGCCTGAAGGGGCTCCAGGAGAGCTGGAGAGGGACCGGGGACAAGGCATGGAGGGACAGGACACAGGGAATGGCTTCAAACTGAAAGAGAGATAGGATATTGGGAAGGAATCCTTGGCTGTGAGGGCGGAGAAGCCCTGGCACAAGAGTGCCCAGAGAAGCAATGGATGTTCCCTGGAAGTGTCCAACGCCATGTTGGACTTGGAGCAGCCTGGGACAGTGGAAGGTGTCCCTGCCGATGGCAGGAGTGGCACTGGATGGGCTTTAAAGGTCCTTTTCAACACAAACCGTTCCAGCCCAGCCCCGCTTTCACCCCCTGCATCTGCCGGGGCTGTCGGTGCCTCTCCCCGCCCCACAGCTGTGAGGGGGAGCGGGTGGCGGCGCTGCCCTCGCGGTACCGGGGTGCAGGGCTATCGGAGGAGGCCGGACACGGCTCTGCAGCCCGGGAAGCACCGCGGGATTCTCGGCGCCTCAGCGCCACGCTGCACCGCCATCTTCCTCCCCCTCAGCCGCGCCGAGCCGCAGCAGCCAATCACAGGCGGCGCCGGGCAGCAGCAGCCAATCAGAACTCCGCCTCAACCATTTCCCACACGCCATTGGCCAGCCGGGTTCGCCCGCCCAGAGGAGCGCCGTGGCCTCCACGAGGAGAGGGCCGGAGGGACGCTCATCCCCATTGGTCAGCGCGCAGGGAAAGCAGGGCGCTGATTGGACAAGGCGGGAAGAGAGGCGGATATTGGGACAGGCGTCTACTCGTTGTCATGGCAACGACGGCGGGGCCGAAACCGCGGGAGCTTCCGACGAGCACCGGCCTCGGGTCGGGACCGGAGAACCGGGACTCCCTTACCGAGCCCTGGCCGCGGGTCGGGATCGGAGCCCAAGGATTCCCTTACCGAGCACCGATGGACGTGGGATTGGCCCGGAGCGCGGTTCCGGACCGGCGGAACCCTCGCCCCCGGACCAGCCCCCGCCTCCCCGCCCGTTTCTTCCCGATGCAAAGATGCCTTGAAACCTGGGATTTTGGGGGTGGCAGCCGCCGAGTTCCGCCTCTGGCTTCAGCCTCCGCTCCTCCCTCCTCTCCCGGTGCAGAACGACCCGCGCAATTTGACAATTTTAATTAAAACCCCTGAAATTTCCAGCCAAGGAATCAAACATCCGGACAAAACTTAGGCAGAAACACGCACGCAAAAAAGTCCTTTAAGGAAGTTTCCTTTAAGGAAACGGAGCTCTGACCCCAAACAGGCTCTTCCCTGACTCAGACACCTCTATTTTTCCCCGCGATACCACCGACAAAGTGACGGATGACAAATCCATACTCTTATTAGTAAAATGCATAAATCATGTCCTTAGAAGGCCACGACATGCCCGACTCTATCCCGTGAGGAGCCCTGAACACGAGCAAAAGGTCTCTGAAAGAGGATGCTGAACGAGCAGCGCCGTGTCCCGCTCCAAAGGGGAGGGAAGTTCCTCCGGCATGGAGATGCCTGAGGTCCAAAAGGAACGACAAACGCCAGAGGGTCCCAAAAGAGCTACGAGGTTTGATTAGTAAATTACACACTTGGCATGGAAATTGGATGAGTTAGCCCCTTATCTTCTATCAGTAAATTAAAGAGGAAGGAGGAGAGAGGAGAGAGGTCAGGAAACATCACCAGCCCTGGCTCCAGCGCCGATCCGGGTGTGCAGGATCCCCAGGATGCTGTGGGGGCACCTTCTTATGGCTAAGTTTTCCCCGCCCCGGGATCAGGTTTCCCACTTCCCATGCAAATGAAGGAGTGTGCGCAATCCTGCTGCTGGACCTTTCTGGAATTGGTTCGGGGGGCTTTGAGGGGTTGTTGTGATCTCCCTGCTCGTTTCCCCGCTGTGTTTGTCCAGTGTTTGTTGTGTCTCTGCGTTCCGGGGAGGAGCTGGAACAGCGCTGCCCTATGTGCCGTGCCCCCCTCTCAGCCACATCCTGTTAACTCCTGCTCCTTATCAGTGTTTGGGACACAACCTTAACTCCTTGGAGTCCTGGCTGCCACAACTACACAGATCACAACACCGCCTGTGGCCCCTGAAGAACGGGATGGGAACTCGGGATGATCCCGAGAAGCGGAGGAAGGACATTCCTTACCTCCTCCAACACCCTCTGAATCTCCTGGAGCTCGGAGATGCAGCGGGAAATGGCTCCTGAAAAACGAACACGTTCGATCTGATCCAGGTTGATTTGCAAGAGCATCCTGGAGGCTGTGGAGGGAGGGGAACAATCCGGAGCCCCAGGGGCCGAGAACTGCCCCACTTTTCCTTAACAAAGGGCGCAGGGAGGGACATGCAGGGACACAGTAGGAGCCGATCATCCCACAATTTCTGTTTAGGCTGTGAGGTGAGAAAAGCCTGGGAAGGGGGTGGAATTCCTTTGTTAGGAGTCCCTCCTTGGAGGCACCGCCTTGAGCTGTTACCCTGTCATTGTTTCAAGGTTAAATTGTAGTTAAGGATCCAGCTCTGCTCTGCTATGGAAAATCTGGGATGGAGTCTGTGAGGAAACTTGTGTGAGTGTGGTGTGGGATCAAACAGGGACCCATCGGCTCACAGGAGCCCCTCCCAGCTCAGGTCATGCTCAGCTCTGTGCTCAGGTCATGAACTGTGACTCCACAGTGGCTCTTGGATGGGAAATTGCCTTAATGGCCACACATCCAGCAAGTGGAATCTTATCCATGCAGCCAGAATAATGGCCTGGACATTCACATTCCAGCTGGCTCTTGTCAACAATTAATAAAATTTTTTAATGGACACAGGAGCACAATATCCAGTGCTAACATAGCAGGATGCTGGTGTAGGACCCGGAGGGCAAGGAGTTAAAATCCCTGGAGCAAATGCCCCTGTGCCAAACTGCTCAGGTTAATTTATGACTCTTGGGTGAGAAGCAGGAATCTGCCAACCTTAACCCCAAAGGAGTTCCAGAGACTACAGTGCACTGACTCCACGCAGCACCTGCACTCCTTGATTTAAAATTAAAGTATCACAATGGCAAATTCCTGCCGCGGCAGGAAAGGGAATTTCTGGAGTTGGCCCCAGTAAGAGCTGTGGGTCCCAGCACTGTGTGGGCAGTGCCCTGGGGTGTAGCATCCTGGGTACCAAGGAGTTAAAGTGCTGCTGTGTTCCAAACCTGCATAACAAGGGACAAACTGGAATAGGGTGTGGCTGCAGAGCGGGGAGGGGACCCTCTGATATTTTCAGGCCCTCTGATTTTTTCAGTTTTAGGCTTGTCTTCCTCCTTTTCTTCCTTAACTCTTTCTGAAGCTGCTCATTTTCCACTAACAGCAGTAATTCAGCTCTTTTCCTCCCTTTCATTTTTTCATTTCCTCTCTGGGGTCTTACTTGTGTCCACCATGCTTTTTCCTATCTAAATTCTCTTTCCCTGCATTCTGCTGAAGCAAGTAGAGTCCCAAGCTGGTCATTTTTCAGGCCCAGGTTTATCACTTTGGATTCTCTTCAAGGCCTGGAGATAAGGGAGTGTGTCTCAGCTGTGGGGAAGGACAGGATATGGCTGGAAAAGGGGGGGCACATGGAGCTAGGACAGCTCTTTCTGGGACAAACAGCCTTGTTCTGGCTCCTGGAGATAAGCACAGCATGCACAGCACAGGGCATGGAGTGTCCAATAAAAGTTATCAAGGTGGGGAGAATCAAAACCACCAGAGACCTCCCTGACCCAATCCTAAGAGGATCCAGAGGGATGGACTGTGTCTGCTGATTCGTTAGCATCAAAAATGAGAAAATAGCCCCAGGGTGTGGAAAACCTGGCTGTAAAAGGGTGATCCAGGGCTCACAGGGGCACCTCTGGGATCCTGGACACTGTGTCAGCTGGATCGATGCTGGAGCCAGGACTGGTGATGTCCTCCCCTTCATCTCTCTGATCTCCCTCTCTCTTCTCTCTTCCCTTTTATGTTTTTATTTCTCTTCCTACCAGAAGGTAAGGGGAGAAATACCAACTCCCATGCTGAGAGGGAATTTGCTCTTAGCTTTTTTGGACCCGTCTGACACCTGTCATTCTTTTTTGACCAGGGCATCTACAAATATTGGAAGTTTCTTTCCTCTTGGGAGTGGAACACAGACCCAAGGGAGGAGGCTGGAGGAGCAGGGCTGCCCTACCTCCACACGGCCTCCTCTCCAGCAGATCCTGTTATCAGTGTTTGGGACACAGCAGCTCGTTAACTCTCTGTTTCCCGGGTTTCTGCAGCATCTCCATAGTCTGCTTTCACAAGATTTGGAAAACTGAACAAATACAAAAGACCATGAACAATGTGGGAAAAAAAATGCAACACAACTTTAAGGCTATGCAGGATTAAAATCATTTTCCAGGCTCCCCGGCCATTTTACAATTCCCAGGCTCTCACCCTCCAGGAATTCTCCCTTGGGGTTCAGCAGCAAGGAGCCCCAGGATATAACAGTAGGAATAAGCTGCCTCCCAGGCTCTGCACCTTCTTTCTGTCTGCCACTAAAGAAAGAGGATTCCTCCTACAGCCACAGAGGTAACACTTCCTTTCCCAAAGCATCTCACCCAAGTGGGTGTTTCCTGACACAGTTCCACTTGTTTAGTGGACAATTAACACCTTTAACTCACTTGTTCCCAGCCCAGTCCAAGGATTCTTGACTCCTGGGATAACATTGTGGATAATTTCTCTCTATTCAGACAACTCTTCTTTGTAACAGACATCACAAATTGGTCATGTCAATGCGGTTTCTCTCCCACATGGACTCACAGCCAGCAGTACCTCCAAACTCCACCTCCCCAAATCCACAGGCACTGGTGAATGCTGTCTAACGTGGAAAAAAACCCCCAGCCACCTCTCTTTTCCTAGGAGGGGCTCGGGATGGCCTCCTCTTGCCATCAGGGTCTGGCACAGAGCTGGGGGTGCTGCCCCGGCCCAGCGAGGGGACACCGAGAGGGGTGTGGGGGATGTCCTAAATGGAATGCATCACAGAGCTCCTGATGTTCCTGCAGGGCCAGCTGACCAGTGGCATGTGGGTTTCCTGCATGTGACCTTCTTGATGCTTCAGCAGGCTCCTCTTGAGCACAAATCTTTTGCTGCAGAGAGGACACTGGAAAAGCCTCTCTCCCGTGTGCCGGCGCTGGTGGTTCAGGAGGTAATCCTTCCTCCTGTAGGTTTTGTCACACTTGGAGCACTTGTAGGGCCTCTCTCCTGTGTGACTTGTCTGGTGCCTAACGAGCCATGAATGGCAAACAAAGGTTTTCCCACAGTCGCTGCAAATGTAGGATTTGCCCCGGCCCTGGCTCTGCTGCTGGGCATGGCTGCCCCGGGCCAGGGGCGGCTCCCAGCAGAGGCTGGATCCCGATGTGTCCGTGGGGAAGCTCTCCTCGTTTTCAGCAGCTTCCTCTGTGCCCAGGCTGTCCTGATCGCGGGGCCTGCCTGGGCCTGGGGGAGTCTCTGCACACTCAGAGTGGGGCCCTGGCACCTCGAAGGAGGTGGGAGCAGTTCCTGGGACCATTCTCATCTCTCCTGGACCCATTCCCTTCTCTCCCAGGCCCATTCCCAGCTCTCCCGGGTGTGAATGCAGCAGAGAGAACATCCTCTCACACGTGGGGCCTGGAAACATTTCCCCTTCTCCCTGAGGTGCCTGAGGCTGGTCCTGCTGTGAGCAGTTTCTCTCACATTTGTACACACAGGGCCTCTTTTCCTGAGCACTAAAGAAATCGTACTGAGCATCACCTCCAAGGCTGTTCCCATTCCTGGTGGTGGTTGTTTCCATCATTTCTGAATTCCACTGACTGTCCCATGTCAGTCTATGGCTGGGATCTTTGGGAAACTCCTCTCCCGGCCTTCCTGGTACCTCTAAGTCACAGGTCTTGCTCTCTAAGCAATCTGCTGGATGATCCCTCTTCAAATTTTCATCTGAAACAGAGATTTTAGAGATTTTTTATTGAGGAGTCCTCTTAGGAATGCCCCTTCCAGCCCAAAGCCACACCTCTAATACTGAGGGAGGAACCAAGCACCAGCATCCACTGAAAGAAAATTTCCAGGAAAATAGGACTTTTTTCAACTGTATTTTTTTAACTCTACATAAAAAATAACTGCTGCAGTCTCAGATTCAGCCTGTCACTCAGATAACAGAGCAGACATTGTCCTTCCTCAGTGCTCCCAGCTGCACTCCAGACACTCCCCTGAGCATCTCCAGGAGCAGAGTCCAAGCAGGGCCCAGGAGCCAGCTCAGAAAGTCACACAACTGTGGGATCTCCTGAGCTGGGAGACCCCCACAAGGATGGAGTCCAACCCCTGGCCCTGCATGGACACCCCAAAATCCCACCCCGTGCCTGAGAGCGTTGTCTAAATGCTCCCTGAGTCTGGCAGCCTTGGGGCTGTGCACCTTCCCTAGGAACCTGTTCAGTTCCCAACCACCCTCTGAGGAAGAACCTTTTCCTAATATCCAACCTAAACCTCCCCTCTTGAGCTCATCAGAAGCCCCTTCTTCTCCCAGGAACTCGTGCTGTCTTAACAAGCACCTGTTTTCTAATGAACAGCCTTGGAAACCTATTTTTCTTGCCTGAATAACAACACAGGTGGAGTAGGATTTTTGTTATGGAACTTTCAAAGACAACTTTCACTGACTCAAATTGCAGCCAGGATGGAAAATGACTGTGATTAAAGCCCACTCTCTTGCAACTCTATAAACTGCAGTCCAAAGTGAGACCCACTGAGCTCTCACTTCCCAGAAAACGAAGGAATGTATGTCCCAAACACTGATAACTGTAATGCCATGGAGAAAACAAGATTTGTCTGGAGAAGGG